CTCTCACACACGTTTGTGACAATATTTAACATGTGTGAAGCAGGTGGGGGCAGTGTACTTTAAAACTGCTTCCTCAGCTTCTCCTGGCTCTAAGAGCCGAAGAATGTACACAGTGACACCGGAAGTGATGTAATATACATCACTTCCGGGTCTAGTGATCAGAGGAGAGTTGCGGCTGGAACCCTGCTGATATAGTCGATCAGTCAGGGGAGACCCGCTATGCCGGTCCCAGGCCAGCACGAGGGAAAGTGGTGCCCGGGCATACCGGCGTGCACACAGCGCCGCACTGTACAGCCGTCGGATTGCTTGCTTGTATTTTAACAGCAATCGCCTGTTTAAAATGATACCAAGAACATGGCTGCAGCCGTGTTCTTGGTATAACCGCTTCCGGACAGGGTTTTGGTTTTTTTTCCCACAATGGGCGGTCCTGAAGCGGTTAATTGAACAAAAAAACAACCAAAGTTTTAGACTATTGCTTTATTTTAAAAAACTAAAACAATGAGAAAAAAAAAATTATCCAGCGAGGTAATCTAAGGGTCAAACACGTTGTCCACAACGCCGCCAACTGACGACCTGACCGCACACAAATGATGTTACGGCTGATTCCACCCATTTGTTGTCGTGCAATGACAGGCCACTGCCATCAAATAACCTGAGGACAGTGGCCTGTCATTGCATTACAACAAATAGACGGACACAGCTGTGACATCACGGCTGACTGTGACAATTAATGGCTCTAGAATTTTTGCTCTCACTCTGACGTTCGCAGCGATATGTAACCATGTCTAGCGCAGTTGTTGTCTTCGCATGTAGGCGCACCGACGCATGTTTGTGCGTGCACGTGGGCCGGGGACTTTAACATTTTTTTTGCATTTTTGTATATGTTACTTTAATTTTTAAACACTTTTTTACACTAACCTTATTGCCATCACACAGGGGGCTAACAGGCCCCCTATGTAATAGCAGATAGGGTTTTTCAGACCCCTAATGTCACATAAGGACCCCAAAGAAGCTGAGGAAGCAGAGATCTGCTTCCCCACCATTTTCTTCTGGCTCTGAGCCGGAGAATATAAAAATAGTGAAACCGGAAGTGATTAAATACATGGAAGCTGCTGCACAGGGACATCGGAGCCCGGGGAAGCCGACGGCAGCGGCTGTGGGGGGGACCAGCGCCGCTCGGTACAAAGGATACGGCGGCTGCAAAGATGTCAGATCACTTGTACATTAACAGCCATCGCTGGCTGTTGCAAAATAACACCAAGAACACGGCTGACAGAGCCGTGTTATTTTGCAGAGCAGTATTTACAGCTGTTGCCGTCATTGGCAGGTGGTATAGATCGTGAAATCCTGATGTAAACCGTCTTTTTTTTCCCCCTCTAATGTTTCAGCAACATGATACTATTGCTGAAGCAATGTTGCAGGCTTCTGATCGTTGTGGTAACCATCAGTAGCCTTTAGTGACATCTGATCCTGAAATGCTGCAGGATCGGTGTCACTAAAGTTATTATTGGCTGTTTCAAGTTTGAAGCAGTCTAATAACCAAAAATTAATTAAATCAAGCAGTAATAGTGAGATTCATTCACAATGACTGCTTGATATAATTAACTCACCTCCCATCCATGGCCGCTCCTGATCGGCCGGAAGCCTTATAGGAGTGGGAGGGCGGGAGATCAGCTGTGCCCGGTGCGGCTGGGACCAGCACAGCGATGCTGTCAGTGGAGATCAAAGGGAGATAAGTACACATCTCCTTTTGATCTCTTCTCGGTCCCCGAATGCAGGAAGTGATGTGATGACATCACTTCGTGCATTCAGTGTCACTCTTCGATTACAGATGCCGGTGAGAAGCTTCTCTGGGGGTCCCTAGGTTTAATAAAAAGATATATGTAATCTCCATGATTTGTTTGTGAAAAAATTCCAATAAAAAAAGTTTTATAAAAACAAAAAAGTACACCACAGAAACTTTTTTGTTGTTTTTATAAAACTTTTTTATTGGAATTTTTTCACAAACAAATCATGGAGATTACATATATCTTTATTACAGAGATACATCACTTATAGGTTCCTAAACGAGACACTTAATTAATATCTATCTACTTTGATCACATAGGACAGTGGTCCCCAACCCCCGGACCTGCACTTTGTACAATATATAAAAAAGACAGGTTAAGAAAAAAAAAAGGAATTCAGTCTAAGGGCTTGTTCACACCAATTGTGATGCGTTCCAGAGTGGCAGCTGCTGGAACGCACCACAATCGCTCACTAAACTTCGCCCTGCGTTCTGGGGCGTGGCAGTGCATTGAATTCAATGGCACTGCTTCGCCTTCCCGCCGCAGTGCGATCGGGAAGTGTGGCAAAACATTGCCTGCGTTCCATTCCACTGCAAACACAAAAAATAGCGCAAGCAGCATTGCAGTGGAACAGAACGCAGGCAATATTTTGCCACGCATCCGATCGCACTACGGGAGGTGGCTGCAGTGCCTTTGACTTCAATGCACCGCAACGCCCCCTCCCACCCCTGAACTCAGCGGGAAGATTTGTGAGTGATTGCTGTGCGTTCCAGCAGCTACCGCTCTGGAAAGCACCGTAATTTGTGTGAACAAGCCCTAAGGGCCCAGTCCCACCATAAGGAGTGTGTGCCAGTACGTTCAGCCTCTGGAATGCAACCCGGCGGCTCACTTTGTTTTGGGGCAGGAGGGGGCGTGGTGGTCCATTGAACTCAATGGTACTGAAGCCTCGCCCCCCGCCTGCAGTGCGATCGCGGCACCGGAATGCGTAACACATTAGTGCCTGCGTTTTCCGGTCCAGTGCGATCTGCAAAAATGCTGCATGCACTATTTTGTGCAGATTGTACTGGACCAGAACGCGGGCACTAATGTGTCACACGTGTGGGTGCGGCGTAACTCCAACCTCCATTAATATTAATGATATATATATATATATATATATATTATAAAATATAAACAATCAACGCCCCCCCCTCAGCGGGCCACGGTAAAATTATTAAACGTTGACCGGTCCGCGGCGATAAAAAGGTTGGGGAGCACTGCCCTAGGTGACATTAGGGGTCTTCGAGACCCCTGATGTCTACATAAAGAGGACCTGAAAAAAATTTGCAACTGCCACCATTTTATTCTATAGGGTCTTGGCTTTCCGAAAAATATATGTTTCGGGGTTTTAAGTCATTTTTGGGCCTAAAATGTGGAATATAACATGGGTGCAAAAAAATGGGGAAAAAGGCCTCAGTCATGAATGGGTTAATTACTGATAACATTAAACTGATGAGTGGTAAAAGCTTTTAAAGCGTCTCCTATGGCAAATTTTGGGTGTGGTCGTTTTCTGCGATTTTGCGGGCGCGCATAATTTTAAAGCTTGACATGTTTGGTGTCCATTTACCCGACGTGACCCCGTCTTTTATATTTTACTAAAAAATTGGGGTAATAGATGTTTCATAACATTTCATAGGGAAACAGGTTTTTTTTTCACGAAATTTAGGGTACATTTTTGTTTGTTATATAGTAAAAAATAAAAACCCCCGTGATTAAATACCACCAAAAGGAAGCTCCATCTTTCCCCCCAAAAAATTGTATAAAATTAGTTTCAGTACAGCGTTGCATGACGGAATAAATGTCAAAGTTCTGCAGCACCGAATACTGAAAAATGGCCTGGCCAGGAAGGGGGTGTAACACCCTGGTCTTCAAGTGGTAAAATAAAAAAAAATTAAAAAAAAGAGTAGTTTTTTTAAAAGTTAAAAGTAAATGTAACAAATAAAAATACTGAAAACGGCCTGGACAGAAAAGGGGTTTAGCAATTTAATGCATTTTAAGATTTAACTCCTGAGTTTGGTGTCACTTTACGTCAAACCAAAGACCGTTTCTGGTTTTACGTATTGCAACATATTCCCTCGTCAAAAGCAGATAAAGAGAAGCTATTAAAAAGGAGAACTATGGGGTAAGTGTTTTTCCCTATAGTTCTCCTAAGGGCCACAGGAGGACATAAACTAGCGTCCTCCTGTGACCCAAAGCTCAGCTACAGCTCACGGTATACTAAGACCGACGCAGCCAGGACAGATACCGACATTACTGTCGAGATCCACCCAGCTGCGTAATTGACAGCTGGCTCTGCCTATCTAGAGGCAGAGTCAGCTGTATCCGCCCCCTCCGTTCCGCCACTCAGCGCTGGAGGATCGGGGAATCACAGCAGGGAGCCGTGAGTGACAGTCAAGGCTCTCTCCAGGGACATGATCGAGAAGTGAGCGAGCGTCGGTATGTGTTCGCTCACTTTCCGATCTATCGAGCCAACGTGTGACAGTTTTACGAACTAGGAGGTTGAGTGAAAATCACTCACCTCATAGTTTTCTTTTAAGAATGCAGTGTGTGCAATTACACACTTGCATTAGGCCTGGTTCACACTGAGCGCATTGGCCCCATATACTCAAAAGGAAATGCTTGAAAAAGCATGTTGCAATAAGTTTTGCGTGTATGCGTGCATTCTGTCAATTGACATCAATGTATCACAATCTGCTCCTAGAAACAATATATACACAAAAAAACATATTTTTACGCACAGACACTAACGCTTTATTAGCTTTTGAATACACGGGTCCTGAAGGACGAAGCTTTACTATAGAAGTGAATGTGATACCAAGTTACAAGTGTAAGTGCCACCAACTTGGCAGAGCTATAGTCCCAACATTACACCCACGGTCACCTTGGGGGTCACCTTGAACAGTACAGCTCACGGGAGAAGCCTTTTATAAAAGCGCAACGCCACAGCCTGTCACTGCAAAACAATCTCATGTTCAGCTGCTATTCTGCTATTGCCATGGAGATAGCAGCCGGGTGATCTGTATGTAATGAACAATCGGGCGTCGTGCATTTGAAACGCATTTAGACAACCGGGAAAACACACACTCACAACTCACTTCAAGGCCACCAACGCAAGCTACGGCTCACGATTACTCTGGTAACACACCAAGCACCAACCATCATGTACCCGCTCACCTGAAGCCGGCCTGGTAGAAGACAGTAGAACGCCATTTTGTTCACTGACAAAGATGAGGTCACGTTGCCGTTACGTCTACACACTCGTTCTTATAGACTATATTGTGGGCGTGGCTCCTACAGAAAGATGGGTGAGGAAGAAAAGGACTTGGAAGTGAGGTATAAGATCTTACTGAAAAATGTGTCCACCAACCATCCAAGAAAATAGCTTTATACCTTTCATAAGTAGTCAAAAGGATTATATTTGAAATAAACGTGCAAGGATGTCGGTGTGTTTTCCCTCATCCTTAACAGCTGGCACAGTGCATTATCTAACTGCTAGGACAAGCTGAATGGACTGGCGCACATGAAGGTGACCACTTGTGCCCTTTATTGCTTCGTGCACAGTGAAACCGCTGTGAATGATAATGAAGTTAGATCCGGTCAGCTCCGCCTCCTTATTCGCCTGCTGAAGATGGCTTATTCGACCAACTTCTTATTCAGAACTTTTCACCCAGATTCTTATTCAGGTTTACTTCTTATTCATGAAAGTGATTATTTGCTAAACAACCATTTGCAAAGTTTACACGATATTAATTCTGAAATATGGCAACATTCCTAGCTTCCTAACTGGCATGTATTTCATTGGGAAATTCTGAATAAGGAGCCAATCAATTATTCTACAAAAGCCATCTTGGCTCACCCAAATTTGGCATGTTTTTTTAACTAAATGGGCATCCCTCTATCTGAAAGAGATCAATTTGGCATTAGCCAAGTCTTATTGCTTAAGTCTTATTATTATTGCAAGTCTTATTGCTTAAGTCTTATTATTATAAGCTATTCCTCTATAACAACCATCTTGGCTCACCCAAATTTGGCTTGATTTTTACTAATTGGGCATCCCTCTATATGAAAGTGATCAATTTGTCCTGAGCCAGGTCTTGTTGTTTCTAAAATAGGGTACTAAACGTGGCACCCTGAAAGCCATGCACAGGGCCGTCTCTAATGTGGGGGAAAAGGGGCAGTTGCCCCGGGCCCAGTCAATGTTGGGCCCAAAGCAGCTGCCCCTTGAGGAAGGGCTCTAGTGTAAGGCTGCATAGGCAGCCTGTTCCCGCTCCGAGACCTGCTCAGCCGCCGCCTCCCTCGCTGTAATCCGGGAGGAGCTCTGGGAAAGCCCATGGAAAGTTTCCTGCCTTATTTGCACCCATCATGCCTGCATTGTCAGCTGTGTCGCTTGGCTGTCCCCTCTACCGGTTCCCCTCGGGGTCCTGTTCGTCCCTGGCTGGGAGTATTGTTGTGAGTGGGGAAGTATTGAGACTACAGTGCCTGTGTACTGCTTCTGCCGTCCGCCCTACAATGTGACTCGTTTCATGATCGAGTGCAACGCCTGCAAGGACTGTTCCACGGCAGGTAAGGAATGGCAGGTGTGTGTGATTGGGCCTCCCAGTACAGGCTGAGTGGGGGGGGCTCATTGTGACCCCCCATGACAGTCATCTGCTGTCTATTGTGTGAATAAAACTGCCTGGTCTGTCTGCAGAGGAGTCGATGGGTCCCTCCAATCACCCTTAGGGGGCCCCCCACTTATTGCCCTTAATTCCTCAATCTGCCTTCCTGTGCTCTGATCAGATTGAGAATCCCATTTATTGGGGGGGCATAATGTTAACCCTGTGTTTCCTGGGGCCAGTCCAGTGTTTTTAGGTGCCTACATATCGGTTCCTGTCACTGCGTGCTACCCCAATTGCCATCCAGCTGCCCCTTGTGCCCATCTAGTGTGTTCACTATTGTTATCTGTTGCCTGGGAGCACTTAGTGTCACTGGAGGGCTCCACTACACTCAGTGTCACATTTCTGTGACTTCTGCACCATGTTACTTTTTTTATTATTATTGCCCATAGTTCGGAAACATCCCCCTACTACACCACCTATGTGGCTTCTTCTGATTCTTCCCCCTGAAGTTCCTCTGCCCGCTTTGACTCTCCAGGTGGAATCAGGCAGAAACCTGAATGGCGGGCACACACAACTGCACGGAGTGTGTGCCCGCCAGTGAGCAGTGAGTGTTGAAAAAGTAGATCAGACAAAGCTGTTTATAGTCTTCCTGTCATCAAGGCCAGCGCAAGTGTAAGGCTGCATAGGCAGCTGCCTGAGTGCACTAGTGGAAAAATGCACCTTTGCCTGCGTATGCAAAAACCCTTGCATTGGCCCTTCACAGCATTGTTCTGCTTACTATGTGATCGATAGTGTTGCTCCGCCCCTGCCGTACACCACGTAGCGTGACCATGTTACGTCTCACGTGGGGTCACGTCTCCTCCTATCTGCTCTGTAGGAGGAGGAGGTGTCTTCTGTCATGTCGCACACATCCGAGAGAGATGTGGCATCTGGATTGAACGACCGATACATGACCCTGGCAATGCATTTCATTGGGAAATTCGGAATAAGTAACCAAGTTATTCCTCTAAAACAACCTATGTATTTAGAGCGCTACTACTGTTGGTGTAAGGTAAATGAAGAAACTCACATTTGGGAAGTCCTTGGGGATTCTCTGAGGGTGAAGGGATGGAGTCCTTAGGGAAGTGAGGCACGATGATATGCAATGGTATGGACGGCTGCAAGGATACGTTTTTAGGAGAAGGAGCAGCTATCTTGCGGCGGGGCTCAGCTGGCCAGGCTGTGCCGTAGCGGCCAGGAGTGCTCTGTAGGGGGATACTGTGTGACACGTGCTGTCAGCGGTCGTCTTAGTCAGCAGGTGTAGGAGACCAAGCCGTGATGGCATAGAGAGTGTGCTCTCCTCTCTAAGTGTCAACGGCGGGAGTGTGTGAGAAAGTTTCCAGTGGTGTGTGAGGAGCAGATTGCTACGCGTTTCGAGGCGCAAGCCTCTTTGTCAAGCTCGGGTGAAGGACGGAATTGCGGGAGAATCACGATTTTTTAAAAATGACAGCTGGGCGGGGCCAGCTTCGGTAGCACTGTCCTGATAGGTGGAGTGGTTAGGTGGGGCGGAACAAGTATAAGAGAACGCCCCCTAAGTGTAACGAGCACCGCTTCGCTTATTTACTGCAGTTTGCATCTCAAATTGATTCTGTCATGCAGGATGTGTTGGGTTTCAAGGATTCAGCTCTGCTATCTGCCTAATACATTCACAGGTGCTCTTTTGTTTGGGACTAAGTGTAGACGTTAAAAACATTGAAGGTTTTATTAAAAACATTAAAAGTTTTATAAAAAACAAGTGTGACCTCCACCTTTGTTGTTGTCCATGTTTCTTTTATTCAAAACTGTTTGAAAGTACTACTATTAAAAATTCCAATGGATACAAGGGGGATGTTTATTAACAACTGGAATGCAGCTATAAAGGATGTACTGAATGTACTTAATAGATAACCCCGTAGAAACGAAGATGGAGGGGGTTAAAAACAGTTGGAACATGTGTATGTCGACCTCTACACTATGATGGATAGCCGGTATGTGTAGTATTGTTTTATAGAATGGTGTGAATTTCTATCTCCTCGTTGAGACCTTTTTCTATTAGGCGTCTGTGGTCACCAATTCTTGCCCTTAGGAGTCTTATTGTGCGGCCAACATATATCAACCCGCATGGACACTTTAATCCATAGACCACATGGTCGTGTGAACATGTTATAAATTGTTTGATATTGTAGGAAAGTTGCAAGTGATCGTGAAATGTATTTTGACCGTGGTGGATGAACTGGCATGTCAAGCATCTGGGTTTTTTACACTGAAATATGCCAGTTCTATTATCAAATAAAAAATGTTTTGGACGGGTTTCTGGGCCTTGGAAGGATCGGCTGGGGCCTATCATGTTTTTTATGTTCCTGGACTTCCTAAAATTAATGGATGGGTTGGGCGGTAGATGGGGACCCAATTTCGGGTCTTTTTGTAGGATATGCCAATGTTTGCGTATGACTTTCTGTATGGCTGTGAACCCATTATTAAAAGTAGTAATGAAACGTATTTTGTTCTCCTCCCTCGCATTATGGTCATATGTGGCGTCCAGAGGTTGGTCTGTTTTTGAGTGGCCGGAGACAGCCTCCATAATGAGTTGTTCTGGGTATTCTTTCTCCCTGAATTTATTGATGAGAAGTTGACTTGATATGACATAGTCTGTATTCTGAGTACAATTTCTCCTGAGTCTACAGAATTGACCCTTTGGGATGTTTCTCTTCCACCTAGGGTGGTGACAGCTTTTGTAGTGAAGGTATGAGTGACCTCCGGTTGGTTTCACGTGGTTGTTTGTGATGATATCCTGAATTTTGTAAGACAATTCGAGGTCCAAGAACACCAATTTGGTGTCGTTGGCCTCATAGGTGAACGACAATCCGAATTGGTTGTCATTGCAGTGGGCAAGGAACTCACACACACTGTGGGTGGGACCGTCCCAAATAATCAAAATATCATCGATGTCCCTGTTCACAAAGAGCTTGCACACTGTACCCCAGCCGAAGTGACCCTTTCCAGCCACCGTGGACTCCCAGATAGTGCGCTTTCTCCTTTTGTCTTTGTTTTAAGTTATTCCTCTAGGAAAACCATCTAGGCTCACCCAAATGTGCATGTTTTTTACTAATTGGACATCCCTCTTGTCACAGTTCAGCTGCAGACTTGCAGCTGAGCTGTTACTTGTAGTTCTACAAGTATATGCAGACCTCTTACCCCTGGTTCTGCAGGCATGCACGGCTGTGCTGTTGCTTGTGGTTCTCCAGGCATGTGCTCTGTACTTGACTTGCTCCTGCACCAGTCTGGCAGCTTTAGGCATCTGCAGACCTCTCCTGCTGTTTCTTATGCAGCTTCTCGGCCAAACAGTGCAGTCCGCTTGTGGCCAATCCTGTGGATCCTCCCTCTTCCTGTCTCTATTTAAACCCAGGGCAGCGACCGGCACCCTGCCCGAGCAATGCTTTCCTTAGCTAGATGCTGAGCCCCTGTTTGTGATGCAACCTAATTGCCTTGAAGTTTAGCTGTGTCCTGACTGTTAACTTGTCCCTGGAAATTCCAGTCTTCTGTCTGTTGCTATCCTTTGGATATTCCCTGGAAGTCCCAGTCTTCAGGTTGTCCCTGGAAGTCTGGGTCCTCCGTCTGTCCCTGACATT